TGGTCACAATTAGGTCACAGAAGGTTAGATGAATGGATGGATTGGGACTCTCGACTGGATTGGATTGGATTGGATTGGATTGGATGGGATGAACTGATTACCTTTATGCGTTGGTGTATTGGCGGGAACACTGCTTTTCGTGTCGTTCATTCGTTGTTAATTAAAGTTTGAATTTTTAATTTTATTTATTTGTTAATTTTATTATTTGTTAATTTTATTTATTTATTAATTTTATTTATTTATTAATCTAGGCTACCAGAGTGGCCCGGGGTCACTTGCCCGGCCGGGCCAAAAACATTAAAAAAAAAGAAAAAAAAGAAAAATTTTTTAATTTTATTTTTATTCTGAATTTGATGAAGAATTTCGATGTGACCCTGAGGCAAAAGTTGTTCAGTTTATGTTGCTGCATAACATAGTTTTTTTTTTCGGATTTGTTGGATTTTTTTTTTTTTTTTTTTTTTGGCTGGGACCTTCCCTGGTCCTTGCACGGGACCCGGGCGGCCCGGCTGGTAGCCTAGTAATATTAATTTTAGTTCTTTATTAATTTTATCAAATTGTTTTTTTTGGACAGATTTGGTCACAAATAGGTACAGAAGGAGATCAATGGATTGATTGGACTAGATTGGATTGGATTGGATTGGATTGGATTGGATTGGATGGGATAAGGATGAATTATGCCGTTCCGTATTGGCGGCGGGTACACTGCTTTTCGTCTCGTTGTTAATCAAATTTGCATTTTTAGTTTTATCAAAAATTGTTCTTTTGGACAGATTTGTAGTGACACAATCTGGTGCAGCTAAGTACGAATTGGAGTCCTACTGCCATCTTCCCCCGAACACAACGCCCCCCTCATTAGGACTGTATTAAACCGGAAAGACAGCTTGTATACATTCATGATGAGGGTGCGTTGTGTTCGGGAAAACTGTATTAGACCGGAAAGACAGCTTGTATACATTCATGATGAGGGTGCGTTGTGTTCGGGAAAAGACGATAATCAAGTCATTAGCGGAACAGGAAAACCGAAGAATGCACCCTGCCAAGGAATTTCTGAAGAGCGCAGATAGAGAGGCTTGGAAGTCTTCTTTTTTTTTTAGTTTTTTTCTCTTTTCTTTTTTCCTCTTTTCTCTTTTCGTTCTCCTTTTTTCTCTTTTCTTTTTCCTTTCCCCCCCCCCGTTAAACCACCAGTACTTGGCCCAGATATCGGCCGTGGAAAAAAAAAAAAGAGTAGAAACGTTTCTAGTCGGATGAATTTGGGCGCTCTTCTAGTGGCCCGTATACGTTTCCTAAATCGTGGCTTGTTAACGGGGGAAAAAAATGAATTTGGGCATGACTTTAGGAAGTACTAAAAGAAACAAAAAAAGAAAAGAGGTCGTCAGAGCTATGGCGATGAGTGACGAGGGGGAGGGAGGGAGGGAGGGAGGGAGGGAGGGAAAGGGAGACGGAGGAACGTAAGGAGAGAGGGTGTCTGTGAGATGGAGGGTAGGAGGATGGCTCACAACCCCCTAACATTCAGCCTTGCTAGTGAGGGAGTGTCTTCTCGCTGTTTTTCGTAGGTTCTCTCTCTCTCTCTCTCTCTCTCTCTCTCTCTCTCTCTCTCTCTCTCTCTCTCTCTCTCTCTCTCTCTCTCTCTCTCTGCTGCTACAGTGGCGGCGTATGCCTGGAGGTTTGCTAGTTTTCTTTGGCCTGCTTATTCTTTTTTGTTCTTTTTTTCTTTTGAATCTGCTTATCCCTTGCTTGCAGGCAGGGTGAATATCGTGAGGCATCCTGGGGCGTGGTCCCACTAGCAAAGAGGATCGGATAGAATGCCTGAATCTGGACGATTTTATGGAGATGTGCAGGAAATCGAGATTGAACTGCTTTTCTGCATCTCTGCTTAAAACTCGTCCAGATTCTGGAGCTTAATCCAATCCTTTTTGCTAGTGGGAGCCTGCCCCTGGGATATGTATATCTTGGTCTTGCTCCGTTACAGTGCACAGAGCCGGTTCAGCCCCTCCGATCTGAGGAACCGCGTCGTGCACTGTAACCGGGCACGTCTTCCACAGTAGCTAATGGGTTAGCCATTTATCTGCCACACTGGCGTGTTAACTGTTTGTCTGTTACACCGGTTTTGAGTAAACGGGTTGCTCGGTACACTGGTGTGTTAACTGTTTGTCTCTTTTTTTTTTTTTTTTTGAGGGGCTTGCCCCCACAACTATTTCTCTCTGTTATCGAGTTAACGGGTTGCTCGGTACACTGGTGAGTTAACTGTTTATCATTTTTTTTTATTTTTTTATTTTTTTTAGGGGCTTGCCCCGGCAGCTATTTCTCTCTTTTATCGAGTGAACGGGTTGCTCGGTACACTGGTGAGTTAACTGTTTATCTGTTACACCCTTTGAGTTAACTGTTTGTCTGTTTCACCGTTTTAGCTAATGGGCTGCTCTCAACCCCGGCGAGTTAACGGTTTGTTTCTCACGCTAGTGAGTTAACAGTTTCTGTTACACCAATTAGCTAGCGGTTCATCCGTCACAGCCTAGGCTGCCAGCCGGGCCGCCCGGGTCACCCTGTTTTCCCGGGCGGCCCGGCCGTGCAAGGCCCAGAAAAGAAAAAAAAAAAAAAAAAAAAAAAAAAAACATGATGTTATGCAGAAAAATAAACTGAACTACTTTTGCCTCAGGGTCAGACCGACATTCTTTACCGAATGCTTCTCGAACTTCTCGGAGTGAGCCAACAGTGAGGTAGGGTTCGGAAGTGGAGGAGTTGTGGTTGGAATGGAAGAGTAAGTAGGGCTGGCAGCTTGCTGTTTATTGCTTTATTGGGTTGTTTGGAGTTAAGGCTTGAAGCATTCTTCTTAGGGCCAGATCCCACTGGCAAAGAGGATTTGAAGAAATGTCTGAATCTGGACGTGTTTATGGACAGGTGCGGAAATTTGTGATTGCTCTACTTTTCTGCATCTCTGCGTCGAACCCTTCCAGATTCAGACATTTCTTCCAATACACTTTGCCAGTGGGATCTGGCCCTTAGTTGCTAAACCTGAGTACTCGGTTTTCACTTCGCAGGAGGAGGGCAGAGGGACAGGTAGGTGGAGGGAGTACTGGGTGGAGTATGGGATTCCCTTGGATCCTAGTGTCGTTTTAGACAGTTTCACTTTAGGCAATAGTCTAGTTAGGAGGTGGACTTCATTTTATGAGTTGTTTGGCTTTTAAGGCTTAAAAAAAAAAAAAAAAAAAAAAAAAAAAGGCTTGTGCAAGTTGTTTACTAGGATTGGGGTTTCAGGACAGCAGTCTTGATTTGGCCAAATTCTGTGAATAGGTATTCCCCTGCCAGGATCAGTAAGTAATTCGATTCTTTCTGTGCTATTCTCCTACTTTCCGGGTTGAATTGTGAGGTCCCCGGCCTCCTCTTTTTGAGCGTTAATGAGACGACCTGCAAGGGCCCTATTATAAGAAAAAAAAAAGAAAAAAAAAAAAGCTTTACTGAATTTAAAATAAAAAATAAACGTAAATATTTTTTTATAGTTTTATAATTTTTTCTTGGCCCGGGCGGGCAAGTTGCCCCGGGCCACTCTGGTAGCCTAGGTTACAGCGGTGAGGTGGAGGTGGAATTCACCGCTGAGGGCTAAGTGTCCGTTTTGACTTAGGGCATATTCACACTAGCACTTTCTCAGAATGCATCGGACTGCAATTACAAGCAAACGTGAATGGATCTGGCTGCAATCACGTCCAGAGCTTTGTCGAAAAAGTCCTACTGGCTATTGGTGGGCCCAGTCATTAGGGCTATATGGGTGAATGTACTGCCTAGTACTGAGGAG